CATACATACATACGTGCATACATGCATACATATCAGTACATACGAATATATATATATATACATATACACACATACATATGTGTGTATGCATATATACTTTACTTATGTACGTACAAGAAGACATATGTGTTTGCATGCATGTCTGCTGCGCTGTTTTAGAGTCCTAGAGACCTGAACATGTCGGTCTCCCTCTCGTTCGTGAAGAGATTCTTCAGAGTGGCGCTCGTTCAAGGTTTGGGCTTAAGGTTTGGGTTTAAGGTTTAGGTTTAGGGGTTTAGGCTTTAAGTTAAGGGTGTGTGTGTGTGTGTGCCCTAAACTGTGTGCGTGCGGCGCGGTGTTTCTCGAACCGCAGGATGCGCAGGCTGCGAAGACTGCTGGTCGGTCTCTGTTGAACTATGCCCTCGTTCCGGCTCCCAACAAACACCATATTTAGGGCTTCGGGGTTTAGGGCTCATGGTTGATGGCTTAGGGCTTGTAGGGTTTAGGATTTAGGGTTTTGGCTTCGCTTACGGTTTAGGAAGGTGTAGGGCTTAGGGCCAAAAACACCAGCACTTTTGCCCGCGCTTCTCCATCCGATGGCTACACCCTAATCGCAATATATAGCTTATAAACACTCCGAAACCCTAAACCCTAAACAGTTTAGTGTCTAGAGGGTTTAGTAAACAAGCCGAAACAATAAACCCTAACACGCAACCCTCCCATCACCCCAAGGGGGCAACATAGAATCACTTCCACGGCTGCATCATAAGCCCTCAACCCTCCACCCTGGAACCTTGCAAGGCCAACACCTGAAACCTTCAAGCCTATCAAGATAGAACAGAACGACATAAAACGAAGCCTGATGAACTCGCTCCCTAAACCCTAAACCCTAAAACCTAAACCTTAAACCGTCGAAGCCTGATGAACTCGCTACCCGAAACCTTAAACCCCAGAAGTCTCGATTGTCCTTCCCTGCGCAGAAACAAAAAAAGGGGCCTGTGGCGGGTTGTATACTACCCCAAAGGCTCCATGTACCTTTATAGTAGATACTTAAGCCTTAAAGGGGTCCCTATATAGGTACTTTAAGGCCTAAGTATCTAGTACATGGGTACATGGAGCCTTAGGGTACAGTGACATGGGGACGAAAAGGAATCATCATCAGCAACTCTAAACCCTAAACCCTGAACACTAAACCCTAAACCCTGAACCTTATAAACCCCAAACCGTAAACCCTGAACACTAAACCCTGAAGCCTGAAACCTAAACCCTAATCCGTCAGACCTCTAGATTCGGCTTGCGGTGTTGCGTTGGATCGGGCCGCGACTCTCTGCAAGAGCGCTGCCCAAAGCCTTTGGGGCTGTGTACAAACACTATCGGCCTGCCTGTGCAAAAGTGGCTGTTCTGCGGTTTTTTTGGCACTCGCCTTTTGCTTTTCTGGGTCAGGGTTCAGTGGTTAGTGTCAAATAAAACCTACATGACCTACCTTTTTACATGGCTTCCTGAAATACCTCCATAAAAGATTAGGTGATTTCGGGTCCTTGGAGCCCTCGGCCTCCCGGAGTACAATGTTTCGGACACGGCTTAGGGTTTAGGGTTTAGGGTTTAGGATGCAAGCCTTTGGGCTCAGCGGTTGTAGGGTTCAGGGCTTGGGGTTTGTAAGGTGTGGACCGGGGTGTAGGCTGCGAGCCTTGGGTTGGCGGTATTCTAAGGTTCAGGGGTCTTTGTGAGCCTTAGGTTGTACGACATCTAGGGTTTATGGCTTCGGATGCAGGGCGGGCTCGTCTCTTCGAGTAGTGGGTGATAAAAAAAAGCCTTAAATGTTAGAGTAGGGTTGAAGGGGACATTATAACAAAGCAAGAACTACAAGGGAATAGTGCTTTAAACTACTTACCATTTAGGCTTCGATAGTACTTCTGAAGTTTCGGGCGTCGTGTTCACTTCAAAACTTGATAGCTCCTAGACCCAACCTTGCCTGCAGAACTTACCTTTTCTCGGGACATAGCTCCTGTTCATATCAGGGGCTAGGGTGTGGGTTTTATAGGCTTTAGGGTTTAGGGACCTGGGCCC